AAATACCACTAATATTATAGTATTTGGGCCCTAAACCCCTGTTATTTGGGTCCTTGGACCCTTAGGGGAAGATAGTTCCCACAGAAGTCTTCCAGTCCCAGACATGTTGAGAGAGTTCTGAACCCTAAACATCATATGGGAGCTCCCAAAAATAAGCTGCCTATATTGAGTCTATCATGGGGCTCTCTATGTATGGGAACCCAATAGAGAGTCCCTACATCTTCCTTACAAGATTTTGCCCATGTTTCCAAGCCCTTTGTGCCAGGCCCCACGAAATCTGGTTTCGGAGAGTACCGCGCAGGCTCCAGGCGGGCCGTGACGCGAGTCGGAGGTGGTTTAGTGAGGATCTAGGGATACCTTTTTGCCTCGAGGTCTCAGGGCTTAGGATGTCGGGTTTAGTGGAACAGTTGCGGGAAATGGTGCGTAGGATTTAGGACAATTTAGGATTTAGGGCTTGGGATTGAGCATTCAAGGTCTCAACCAGAATGCGGCATAAATGGGTTGTGATCGGCAAAACCCTTGAACCCGACGCCCGTAGACGCTAAACCCCCCTTCTTTTGGGGGTAGTTGGGCCGCCTCCCTGCTTGCTGGATGCCCTGCTTGAGCTAGGAACTACCTGGACCTCAAAGTAGGTAAGACTGGGATATTATTGGTATTATTATACGATTTAGGTTTTCGGCTCGGGCTAGGGTTGGGTTTGGGGTGTAGCCCAAGACCCTACAATGGTCAAAAGAGATTTATTCTGCCATGGGAACCCCCAATACATGCCTTTCTCTACGTACATCGAGGTCAGAGGTTTCAACCTGCGTAAGGTCGAACTTTGGATCACGCTGGAGTCTGGCAATATTCTTACCTTAAGGGTCCGCGGGCCCAGATTTTAGGGTTTCAGGTCCCAAATACCATTCTTATTTTAGTATTTGGACCCTGAGACCCTTTATTTAAGTCCTGGAACCCGAGACATTAAACTCTAGACCCTAGGCCGCTTAAGTGCCACGTTGACCTTTTGCTCCTTTGTCATGTCAACAGCAGAGTTTCCGAAAGTCTTAGTACCCAAAGACACCTTGGGAAACTGGACTCTGGCAGCCTAAGATCAGGCAGGGTTTTAGGTTTTCAGGGCTGGGTTTAGCAGTTGAGAGTTTAGGGTTTAGGGTTTAGGGATCACACTGGGATACTGCTACTGCCACATTGATGATCAGTTCAGGTTGTGGGACTGCCGGTAGAGGTTCTTGTTTTGGTCTTTGGGTTTACTGCATCATTCTTGTCCTAAACCGCAAGCTGTAAGCCCCAAACGCCAAACCTTGTGGGACCCTCAGAGTAAAGAAGGATTTTATGCCGAGGGGAACCTTGCTCATCGAAATACCCAGAGGCTTTAGGGTTTAGGGTGTTGTTGCTGGGGTGTTAGGGCTACGAACCCCAAACCTTCAAGTATTTGAGCTTCTCACAACGATTCCTAAGAAGTCCGGTAATCGCCGCCTCGACATGGTAACCATATATGCGAATCTCCACAAAAGGTCGGATCTTTGTTTTGGAGCCCTACCCCTCAGGCTCTAAGGACTCATGCTTGAAGGATTTTGGGCCGCCCCAGTTCCATATAATATGAAGTCAGTCACTGTGAGCCTTACGGGACAGGTTACAGTATATCGGGTTGCATATGGGGTTCCCTGTTGACGAACACCGCCCAAACCCTAAACCCTAAACCCCCATATCCGAGATTCTAGTAAGGCGTAGTTGAGGGCCAGGACCCTTCTATACCCTTCTAGTACCCCCGAATAGGGGTATATGGTCCATATTTAGGGTATATAGAGGGTAGATGGAGGGTCTAGCGGCATAGCGCTTGTTACTTCTGTTTGGTCGCTGCGGGTCAAGGCTTAGCATTTTGGCTTTGGGTTGGGGCCTTTACAAATTCCGAAGGCATGAGGGTTCGGGGTTTGGGGTTGAGGGTTCATGGCTCTGCATAGCAGCTTTTCTACACTGATGTTCCTACATGAGGGGGAACTACGCAATACCGTAGAAGACAGAAGGTTAGAACACCACTATCCTTGTACTCGTGATATGACTGAAGCTTTAAACCTCAACTCTGAACCCTACACCCTGAAACGCACATACCTAGGGTATAGGGTTTAGGAAACTAACAAGGCCTAACAAGCAACCCTAAACCCTGCAACTAGGGTTTCCTGGGCTGGTGTTAAGGAATTTATGTTAAATCACTATCATAGCGAAAATCACTATCATAGCGAAATCCGATCATTTGCTATGTACTCTTAATGTGGTAACTAAATTAAGTTCCTTAACAGCAACCCTCATACCCTAAACCCTAAACCCTAAACCCTAAATTAGGGTTTAGGGCCTATGCCAGGTTTTCCTTCGCCTGGCTCGGTTCGCAGCTGCTTCTCGGCGTTGCGGCGTTCTGTGCGCAAAGGGCTCAAGTTTTTTTCGGCAAGCTGTCTAGGGTGCAGGAGCAACATGAATGTTGTGATATAATGCCATATTTTCAGAATCCCTCCCAATTTAGCTAATTATTTTCGAAAGTGAACACACCGCCCCCCCCCTCCAAATCCTATTCCAATTAAACAGGCTCCTGCAAAACAGGGATTACAAGCAAAATAGCATTGAACCCCAATCTTCATATGCCCTGCAACGTATGGAAACTCACATTTTCTCAAGTGTTGTGTTTTAGGCATGCTGCTCTCTCAGCCTTGCAACCAGTCGAGTTACTGTACATACAGCTAGCAGCTCAATGAGTTCGTCGGAGCGAATTGGGATCTACTCTACCTGGACTGTCAGGGAGGTTTGGTGTTTGAGCATGCGCACTTGTAACTCTTGTATCCCATCAATAGCCCCAGTGATCCACATTACTTGCCCTGAATCCTAGATAATATTGTAATATGGTTCCCTGTTCTTTTCAATTTCTGAAGCCTATTCTAACGTTTACCTATTCCGCTATAATCCCTACATAACCCATACCTCCATACATATTCCCCTATGCTCCATATATATATATATATAATTTTGTAATGTGTTTTAGCCCCTGTAGTATCCCTACGAACCCTGAACCCTTCATATACCAAAACACACCCGGCCTGCGCGGGGTCAGGGGGGTTGCCCAACGGCTTAGGGGTTAGGACTTAGGGTTCTAGGTTTACGGTTGAGAGAGCTCTGGGGGTGTAGAGGGATATATAGAGACATATAGGATCTGGGCTTGGGGTTTAATGTTCGGACGAATTCAGGGGCCTTATTTGGGGTCCTCAGAATATGGTTGGCGGTGTCTGGGGCATATCGGAGAGCCCCTAGATTAGAAAATGCCCGTGTGAGCCTAAAAGCGCTATAATTGTAATGCCAGTACAAGTCAGCAAAGTACTATGGGACGCATTTTGGAGACGCTAAGGCCTAAACCCAGAACCCTGGGCAAGATGTCCTCAAGGTCAGGTTAAGTTGTCGACCACACCTTTCATTGACGAATGCCTTAGATCACAGCCAAAGAAATTCGGCGTATAAAGCTTTCCCAGATTATGTTACCCTAGGGCTCCCAGTTACCTAAATAGTAGGTTACTGGGCTATGTAACTATAGGGTATATAGAACCCAGTTCTCATTATTTAGGTAACTGGAGCCCTAGGGTTACTCTAGGCACGTAGGCCTGTAGGCGGAAGCCGCGAAAGTCCTGTGAAGGTTGTGACAACAATACGTGGGACTATCTAGATTAGGGGTTGCCAAGAGCATGGTGCTAGTTTTGGATCCGCCTATGACTTTCCGAAGCCCTTGTATACCCAAAGGGCCCTACCTTTGACATTCCTGCAGATCAAGTAACTAGACTGGGTAGGGACCAAAACGCCTGCATGGACAACTGCTTTTACCACGTCTTGGCAGAGTGAGCCTCTAGGTTTGGGTTCTGAGGTCTGGGGCGCTGCTGGATGTTGGAACAGCGGTCTGGAGGTTTAGGGTTTAGGGTTTAGGGTTTAGGATGCTTACCATGGTGGTGATTTCTGTGCGAGTAAGTAGAGGTGGTGAATCAACACGGCGTCTGGATTCGACACTACCAAGCCGCCTTCTCAAAGAGGATGTACGATTGGTCAAACGAGCCATAATATAAACTCCGAGTATTGCCCTACACAAGCTATACATTCCCCTATATTACCCTCCATTGAGGAGTCTAGACGCTAAATCCTAAACCCCCTAAACCATATATATCCCTATATTCCCCTTTAAGGAGTTTAGACCCAGTAATCATAGTAAAGCCGAGGGACGAGGACATTCCATAAAACAACCAGGCAAAGGGCAACAGGAAGAGGTTAGTAAGCAGTGAAGGAATGGAAAAACATGGAAACTACTGATCATTGGGATTGTGTAGGCTTATTATAAGGATGCGTTCCTTCCTTCCTTGTCAGCCAGAGGTAAGAGAATTCCCAAGGCTTGTCCCAAGCTTTTGCCTGCGCCACGGTTTGCCTACACTGTGTCGAGTGATATGCTATAGTCTAAACTAATTAAGGGGGGTTAGAAAGGGAGTGCAATAGGGGTTCAAGAGGGGGATACTCGGAATTTAGACTATAGCTCATATTTACGGAGCAACGATTGCAAAGCTGTACATGCATGGGGCTGCGTTCGAAAATAGAGCGCCTGAAACTTGAAACCTAAGCTCTAAACCTCGAAACCTAAATTCTCAATGTTGAACCCTAAACTCTAAACCTTGAAGGCGGAACCCTAAACCCCTAAACCCTTAAACCCTAAACCTCTGGCCACGGTACCGCAATACCACCACGCCACGTTTCGCCGAGAGTCTTGAGTATCTGATCCAGACCTTTAAGCCTCGAATCCCCAAACCATGAATCCAATTCTTACATAATATAGGTTTAGGGTTTAGTGTTTGGAGTTTAGGGTTTGGGGTTTAGTAAGGAATAAGGGAACATATATTCATCTGTATATTGTATGGGGATTATATGGGGGTGGTATTCCCTTATCTTGTATTCCCTTATCCTCTACTAAGCACCAGTATCAAGAATATGAGGTGCGTCGGTCGACTAATGTCGCGGACGCCGCGCGACTACGAGAAGCTCAAGGAAGTGCGTAGAGGGGGCTCAGGGTTTAGGATCCATTGTGTGGGTATAAGGGCATGTCTCGGGTATGGTGCGAAGGGATATGCAAACACAAGGATATGTAGTTTTGTGAGGTTTTTAGGGTTCCTGTTTTTAACATCTTGTTTTTCCGCTTCAAGCGAAAACCTAAAGCGTATGAACAGGCGAGTTTTGCATGGGCGTTTCTGTGGGCGCCTTGATTCTGTAGAGGCGAATGAGCAAAACACAGATGCTTCCACCCTGAGCCCTGAACCGTGAAGCCCAACCCCCATGACATGCCGTTTGCCTAGGACTGTTGTCTCGAAACCCTAGTGATCGAAACCTCTCATCCCTAAATCTCGAATCTTAAAGCCCGGTAGTCTGGGTTGCTGTTAAGGAAGTTGAAGTCAGTTACCAAAAGATGGGTATATAGGGGTCAGGGCTTAGGGTTTAAGTCGCCATTTTTATTCTAGGGGCTTAGGAGGGATCCTTAATGGGGACCCTTGTAGCTTATTCGGGGTAATATTGGTACTACCTGGTTATATAGGGGTATATAAGGCCTATATAAAGATTATATAAGGTAATGGGATTAGGGGTCCCTTCTAGGGGTCCCTCCTAACAACCCTTGATTTATGGGTGTATAGTAAACAATAGGGTTTCCTTACTATAGTAACTTAACTTAAGTTCCTTAACAGCAACCCAGTAGTGCTTTCACTCACCCCCCAAACACTGAGCCCTAACCCCGAAAACCTAAACCCTAAACCTTGAGCGCTAAACCCTAAGCCGCCCTAAAACCCAAACCCTAAGCCCATAAACCCGAAAACCTAAGCCTAAACCTTAAGCCCTAAACCCTCAGCCCTAACCTAAACCCTAAGCCCAAACCCTAAACCCGAAAACCTAAACCCTAAACCTTAAGCCCTATACCCTAGGCGCTTAACCCTAAGCCCTAAAACCTACACCCTAAACCCGAAAACCTAAACCCTAAACTAAACCTTAAGCCCTATACCCTAAGCGTTGAACCCTAAGCTCTGAAACCTAAAGCCTAAACCCGAAAACCTAAACCCTAAACCTTAAGCCCTATACCCTAAGCGTTAAGCCCTAAGCCCTAAATCCTAAACCCTAGACCGGCATCCCAGCTTCTCCTCACTAACGACCCGGAGTTTTGGAGAGACACATCGTCTTGAGAACACCTAGACTTATGGGGGGCTAGTAGGGAATAGCGGAACATATAATAGAATCCCTACATAATCCCCATATACTATATTCCCTTATTCCTACTAGGCCCCCGTAAGTAAACCCGGCCCAAAGCCCTGTATCAATTTCGAGACACTCCTGCCGTCTTCCTGTCAGGAGGATGAGTGGGACTTTGATGGCGTAGGTCGCGAGTCGCTGAACGACTTTTTGGACGAGGTGGGCTAGGTTGCGTATAAAGCGCATTAGACTAGCGCATATAGTTACATGGCTGGCATATAGAGGTATGGATTGAAGGCTTGGGGTTCAAAGTGTAAGGATGCAAACTCAAAGCATTTCAGGATCTGATGCTTGGCCCAAAACTAGCTTCAGGTTGTAGTGGCTAGGGCTGATGTAATTGCAAGCATGGTTCCGCGAATTTTGTTGACACGATGAATGCTACAGCGCGTTGCTCAACTAAACTTCCTTCACTCTAGCCTAAGCTTGACGGACTTTATGGTCTTTCCATGAACAGTACTACAGTCCCTGACATATGACACACTCCTACTTCCAATGTTTGAGATTTCTCTTAGTCTACTTGGGCCACGCGAGGGAATGTCTGATATGAGCGGGGGGGCCTGGGGTGGATCATGCTGGGGTTTAGGGTTTAGGATTTAGGGTTTAGGATTTCGGGTTAGGGTTTAGGGTTTAGGGTTTAGGGTTTAGGATTTAGGGTTTAGGGTGGTTGTCAAAGTTATGGTTCCCATTAGGGTAGTATTAGGGTTGTATTGGGGGATAATGGAAAAGAAAGTGGAAACTACTATAATGGGTTATATAGGGTATATGGGTGGTTGTCAAAGTTATGGTTCCTTTTTTGATCCCTATTATACTACGGCACCTAATATTTTGAAGTACCCAAAAAGGGATCACAAATTTGACAACCACCCATATATTTCTTTTGTGGAGATACTCAGTCCCGAACAGAGAGTGGTTTAGGGTTTAAGGGTTTAGGGTTTAGGGTTTCCATTTTTATAAACTCCATTTAGGCCCCCATATCCTACATTATCCAAATCTACGGAAATTACCGGAGGGGAGCTACCATCTCGTTGTCTTATAGAAGCCTCATATACCCCTTAACTAACTCCCCAGGCCCAACATACTCTCATATAACCCCCTAATGCCAGCTCCCAAATGGAAACGCCCTCCCATAGTTGGTCCTAAACTAAACCTTGGCCCTAAACCCTAATCCCAAAACCCCAAACCCCAACCCTAAATCCCAACCCTAAACCCCATGTGAGCCATAGTCTAAGCTCCTTAAAGTGGGGATATACAGGGGATTCTATAGGGGACTACTATAATGATTATCAAGGGATACTAGGAGTTTAGACAATGGCTCATGTAGGCCCCTACCACTTACATCACCCAAACCGTTTTCTACATCCGTTCGGCCCGAAAACCTGGGCGATCAAATGGGGAGGCCGATGACGACGACCATCCCGCGCCCTCATACTCCAGGCAAAGCGTTTGAGGGTTTAGGGTTTGGGATTTTGGGGTTTTGGGTGTAGTTAGGGTTTAGGGTTTAGGGTTTAGGGCTTGGAGTTTAGGGTCTAGGTTTAGAGCTGATAGTTTAGGGCCGAAGGTTTACTGGGTTTTTATAGGATTCATCGGGTTTGTGGGGTTTATAGGGTTTTATGGAGTTTATGGTTTCATTGAATCGTGCATACATTGTTTAGTTTAGAGGGTTTAGGTTTTATAGGGCATATATGGTTTAGGGTTGCTGGGGTTTAGGCTTTTGGGTTTCGGGCCTGGGGTTTTACGCAAGCTGCGTTGAGGGTTTAGGGCTTGCGAGGCTGAAGAGATTCCCCCAAATTGGGATGCTCTTACGTGTTAAGGCTTTACAGCTTACTCAGGTTACACGGAGTTTAGAGCTAAGGTCTTCTCAAGAGGGGCCCTTAAGGGAATCTAGGGATTGCGAAAGGCTTATGTGGTCCCTTCGAAGGATTGAGAGGAATGATGTTTCAAATTCGTTCTCGTAAGATTGAAGGTCTAGGTCTAGAGTTTTGGCCTTGGGTTCGGGGCTTGCCCCTGAACCCTAAACCGCGTGTAGGCTTTTGGGTTGAGGTTTGGGTTTGAACCATGGGCGCCGAGCTTTTTTTTACGAAGGTGCACCTGTAACAGGCCTTGCGGTTAAGCACCGTTTTACGATTTTGTGTACAAGAATGCTCGTGTTCCAAGTCCAAGAGCATAAGCCCATACAGTAACCAGAGCATCCCTGCCCAGAGCATAATTAATAACGTTCGTGTGCCAAGAGCACCTGCCAACCAGAGCATCCATGCCCAAACAATAATCACGTTCGTGTTTCAAAAGCATCCGCTAACCTCAGCATCCATGCCCAAAGCTGAGCGTCCCCAGGACGTTGTCCAGTAGAAGACAAGTCCGAGGCGAACCGCAGGCCATAAAGTATCTGTACCAGACACTCTGGCACAGGAGCGTCGGAGTGTCGCGCCTCTTGGAAAGCTCGGGGAACTCGCCAGAGACGCCCAGAAAAAACACGCATGCAAAGCCAGGATTGGTTCCTGGCTTTGGATAAGTTTTTGGTTTTTCAGAAATATAATAGAGAGGGTTGTGATAAGGCATATTTAAGCACAGATACTAGGATAAGGTGATAATTCAGGAATTGAAGGATGTTTGTTCACCTTTCTTTTCCAAGGTGCTGAACCTGGTCTGGAGCCCGTAGGACAAGGCCTTCGAGTTCGTGCCTGTGGGAGCGTCGCCGCGCAAGAACGAGCGGTCGAAGCGGCTGGCTGGCGGATACATCGTAACAAAGAAAACGCTGTCCAAGGACTGGTCTGAGCATTGCTTCTTGCTTATGGAAAATCATTGGCCAGTGCTGTGTCGGTGCCGTGGTCTGGTTAGAGTTCAGGGTTTAGGGTCTATAGAGTTTAATGCTTAGGTGGCAATAAACCCCCCCAGAACTTGTTTTGCGGTTTTGGTTTACGGAAGAGGAGGTCGTAATAATAAGTGACGGAGACATGGGTCGGTACGAAGTAGTACAAGTATAGTACAAGTAGTTTAAGTATAGTACAAGTAGTACAAGTATATTACAAGTAAATTATAGCATAGTATAGTACAGTATAGTACCGTACAGTGTATTGGTAATTATATGATATAGTGTAGTGGTAATGGTGACGGTCTGTNNGAGTCTGCAGCCCTCTGAGCTCTCTGTTTCTGCTGGCCTGTCTGTTCGGCTTCTGCGTGCTCTGCTCTTTCTCTGCACATGCGGCTTTCTTGTTTCTTTGGCTGCTCTGCTTGTGACCACAGTCTGATCGGAGGCTATACGGCCTTTCCTTTGAATGTTCAGATATGGGGTCCCGAGCAGGGCCCCGCAACCTGCCTCTTCTGAGTACGGGCAATCCCTGACAAGGACGCCTCGAAAGTGATCAGTTCGCGATCAGCGAAGAGGGCTTCCAGTATGAAATAGCCCAGGACGGGCGCGGCTGGCGGCACTCGGCCTCTTGCCTGGAAGGGGTGGAGGGGTGGAGCCGTGGAGGGCTGTCTGGACGGAAGTTTTGTTTTTCTCTGTTTCGTCTCTATGCGTCTGAATCCCAGCGGTCGACCGGGCGGTGTTGAACAGTCGGTTCCAAGGAGAATACGAGAAATTCCTCCTCTGCGGAGGCGTGGGTTGAGATCTCAAGAATCCCGTGGGTCTAATTAGCGGGTTAAGGGCTTGAGGATCCCTAACTACAACCCTAATTAACCTCAAACCCTAATTAAGCCCTAAGCCCTAAACACCAATCTCCATGCAGCTCCTCTGGCCCTCTGGCCCTACATCTGAGTCTTGTCTGTAGTTGATTCTAGTTTTTCTGGTTAGTCTATATTCATGAGGTCTCTAATTAAGGGACCCTAGACCCTGAGCTTTAAACCCTAATGAAGCTGGGCTTCACTGAGTTGCTGTACAGGAGCATGCAGGACCTGGTCCGGCGGGAGAGGATGCTGGAAACTCATGAGAATTTCCAGCGGTGCTGGACCAGGCCTCTAATCAGGGTTTAAGGTTTAGGGTGTAGGGCTTAGGGCTTAATTAGTTGCTTGAATAGGGGCTCAAATACTTCTAGAACCCATAATTAATTAATTCGGGGTTAAAATGTTTTGTTGTGGTTGAGGAAAGGTTGGGGTCTGGTTTGTTCTTATCTTGACCCCTGCATCTGCTCTGTGTTTCCGGCGTCTGTTGCTCTACCTCTGCGAGTGCCTGACAGTCTGGTCGGCTGGGAAATCTGGGTGGGGTCCTGCTTCTCTGCTCCATGACAGTCTGACAGTAAATTCCTGCTTCTGTAATCTTTTACTTCTCTGTGTTTCTTCGATAATTTCTCAGCACTCAGGGCTCTCTGACATCAAAGATCATCAAGTGTACATCCGGGACTTGTGCCTCTTGTGCCAGAAAGATTGGGCGACAGCTGTCGGCGAGGTTCTGGATTTCTAAAAAACAGAACCCAAAACCCTAAGCTTTAACTCCAAATTCCTAAGTTCTGAACCCCTAAACCTTTGATCCCTATCGCAGATCTGGTGGCCTGACCAGTATCTGCGGCCTCTGGTGACTGTGGACACCTCTGGGTGAGCTACTGGTCTCATGTTTTTTTGGGGGGTGGGTTTAGGGCTTAGGGTTTAGGGTTGAACTCGGGTTTAACTAGGGGTGGCAATCTAATATCTAAATTTGGCTCACGGCTCTGGGCCGTCTGGCATCTATCTACTGGGTCTGGTGGAGCTGGATCCATCTGTTTCTATTTAGGGTTTACTTAGGATTTAGGACGTAGGATTTAGGGCTTAGGATTTAGTGTTAAGGATTGGGGTCTGGGATTCAGGGCTTAGGACATAGGATTTAGGATTTAGGGTTTAGAACTTAGTATTTAGGATTTAGGGCTTGGGACTTAGGGTGCAGGATTGTAGGGCTCAGGGCAGATTTAGGATTTGGGCTAGGATTTCACTAGATTTTTGGGGTTACCTGACCCTCTCTGAACACTAAACCTTAAACCCAAAAACGTGAATTCCCAGGCTTTGGCCTCTGAGATCTGGTGGAGCTGGATTTAGCATATGTTCCGTGTGTTAATTCTTAAGGTCGCTTAATCGGCTTTCTTAGTAGGGCTTCTTAATAGGGATAATGAAAGGGTTTATTAATAGGGTTGAATATCTGATGGATTTTATTCACAGGTCTTTTATATAGGGTTTATTACTAAGCAGAATAAAGAGGGTTTATGTATAGGGCTTATTATAGAGTCTGTAAATACGGCTTAATAACAAGGTTATGGATAGAGTTTATCAATAGGCATAAGATATAAGTGTTACTCATAGGGTTTGTTAATAGTAAAGGATAATAGATACCCATTCATAAACCTTAGGGATGAACGATAATTATTAATAGTTAAACCTACTAATAGATCCTAATTGTGAATAATAGCACGTATTAATAAACCGTATAAATAAATTCCCATGAAAAGCAATTATTCAACAATAGGCCCTATTTATTATCTTTACTAATAAGCCCCACAATGCAGCGTATTTATTATCTCAGTTGATAAAGTTTTCATACAACTTATTACTAAAGGTCTGTTAGTCAATCTACTGATTATCTCGATCAAGAAGCCTTAAAACTAAGCCCTATTAGTAGACCCTATTCATAAACAATCTCAGGTTCGGCGGCGAGGTCTGAACTGTCTGCACGTCGGAATCTGCTCGGTAAACACGAAACCCTAGTACAGCCTTAGTTAAACCCTAAACCCTAAGCCGCAGGCGTAGTTTTCTGTTTTCTAGTCCGTAACTTTTGTGGCTTGCAGACTCTGACGTTTCTGAGGGGTGACGTTCTTCTGAGGGGTGAGGCTCTGTGTGTGCTCTAAGGATCTGAGGCTGTCTGAGGGTCAACGCATGGTTTAGGGTTTAGTTATGGCATAGGGTTTAATTAAGGTTTAGTTAGGGCTTAATAAATTAATTACGGTTTGTAGTTCGGCGTCAGGTTGCTTAGAAGGCTACAGGTCTAGGGTCTGTAAACTCTTTTTTTCCTCCGTATCTCTGGAGCTTAACACGTTTTCTAGAGCTCTTGAGCTTCTGGGTCTGTCAGCCCAGAAAAATCTGAGCAATGCATACGGTGGATACTAAAAGTCCTGCATGACTTTAGGTAACTAACTTATACCTTGGGAATTCTGATACTATAATGAGTATACTCAGGTATTGCACGATTTTTAGTATCAACAGGATTCATGTCTGACTTTGCATGGAGATTCTGTGTCTTGCAAGCTAAGTATTTTGTTTCTGACCACAGTTCTCTGGTTCAAGTTTTAGAGAAGTGGAATCTGCTAGTCATGTCTCACAATCTTGTTGTGACTGCTTACACGGCTCTAACTCAATTCTGGATCGGCTGGGACATTGGAACGTAGTGATTCTGCTGGCTCACTATCTGGATCTTCCAGGAGGGGTCACTTGTTCTGCATGGCTTCTGGCGCGCAACCTGGACCTGGGATGGATAGCTGATTCGTCGACGGAACCTGGTTCCTGGTCAGCAGATGTTTCTATCTGGCTTCTCTGAGTTTTACGAGTTGTCTAGCGGCGACATCAGTGAGCTTGGGCATTCTGATAGAACTGAGCAGCCTGAAATTGAGTCTGAGAGTTCTTTGCTTTCTGACGCCACCACTCTTGAGTGGGTTGCTGTAGATATGGATGAGGACTGACTGGAGGATTCTGCCTTCCATGTAAAAAATAGTTTCCGATTTTTTTTTGTGATGCCTGTCGTTTCTAGATTTCGTTTGTTGTCATGAAGCGCCACTGACCATGCGTGTGTCTGCAGCTCTGCCATTTTGGCAAGAGCGGCTCTGCCATTTTCGCAGCAGCCAGGTTCTGGGTAGATAGAATCTCTGCAGCAATGGCTGTAGAGATTTCTGATGATGAAGCTGCTTCGCGGTCTGCGGTTGTGGCGGCTGAAAAGTTAGAGCCTGTGACTAGCACTGCCCTAGTGGAGTCTGAAGAGCCAGCAGGCTGGGAGGTAACTACTTGCTTGCTCTGATGTCCAGGACACTAACTCCTTCTCTTGGCATTTTGATATGCATGCATTTCTTGATTTTGGCTTGCGAAGCTTACCTCCACGATGGGCTTCAGATTTGCAAGTACAGGCTTCGGCTGGCAGCTTCAGTTGCTTAGTGCTTCTAATTCAATTCCAAGCTTGGCTAATACAGGAGAGAGGGCTTTTCTGAAAAACCAGACCTGCTGCAGGGAGGTTTATTACTGCCGCCCCTTTTATAATAGTCCTGGGAGGGCCCTCGTAAGGGGTAGCCTTTGGAAGCTTCNNCTTCTTGGAACTAGGTTTCGAGTAAGCGGAATAATAAGCAATCCTTAGTTTCCGATGCTTTGAAATTTCTGAAATTCCAGAGAATGGTAACTAAAGGCTAAAGCTGGAAGCTTCAATACCTTAAGGCTTCTAATTAGATTCCAAGCTAGGCTTATAAAGCCAAAGTATTGGCAAAGGTTAAGGCCGGGAGCTGTAATGCCTCAGGGCTTCTAATTCAATTCCAAGCTTGGCTTATAAAGCAGAAAGGGCCTTTCTGAAAAAACAGACCTGCTGCAGGGAGGTTTATTGTCGCCACCCCCTTTATAATTGAATTTGGGAGGTCAGCTTTCAAATATGTTCCAATGGCTATCAGACATGAACATGCAAAAGATTCTGTTTCTTGGCAGGCTAGAAGAGACCTGCGAAGCAAGCACGGCTGCTTGCTTTCTTCAAGCCTGACCATCCTCATGCTCAGTTCTGGGCAAGAGTCTGCTCCACGTGGAAGACCTCTGACTGAGCCCGTGAAGCAAGCTCTGCGAGAACTGGGTCTGGAGCACGCTCTGCAGCTGAAAGAAGCTGAGCAACAGGCTCTGCTGAAAGCTGCGAGAAAAAGAGTTGGTGAAGGCCGCCCTAAAGGCTCAGGCTCCACCAAGTCTCGCCTTCGCGAGAGGCCTGTCGCTCTACAGCTCAAACTCGCCAAGTCTATGGAGTACAGGGTGTTTGGGTTTGCCGACCTGGACGAGTTCTTCACTGCCCAGTCTAAGAGGCTGGGCATGACTAGGGGTGAGGCCAAGAACCTGTGGCAACGGAAAGAGGTTCTGAAGACTGTTCAGCGGAAACACAGGCTGGCTCTGAACCCAGCTGCGCACCGTGGCGCCAAAGGTTTGCACAGCAAGACGCATCTGCAGAAGCGGTATAGGGGCATCGAGCCCCTGAGCAAGGTCCGGGGCGAGGGACCCTGTGCGAGGGGCTCGAGGCAAGATGGCTCTGGAACTGATGAGCCACCTGAAAGCCCGGCTTCAGCAAGTCCACTCTGAGCAGTTGAAGCTCTGCAAGGCGGAGGAGCAGAAGACTCTGAAGAAGACTCTGAAAGCCAATGCAGGTCTGCGCAAGACCAAGTCTGAAGCGGCTGATCTGGTGGCGTCAGCGACCCACAAGCTTCTTACCTAGGGAAGGAGCCTGAGATTTGCGCCTCTCTGCCGAGGAGCAGGCTACTCTGCAGAAGGTGCGGGACTACGGCCTGCGCATCTGCTCTCGTTGCAGATGGCAGTCTGGCTGTGTTGACTGCCATTCTGACAAGTGTGCGCGCTATCTCCCGGGCAATCTGCGTCTCAACCTGGCACTGCCCAATCTCAAGTGACCAGCCACTTTGCTAACATTGCTGCTCCCGAACCCATTCTGCCTGACAAGGACCTGACTAAATCTGATCTTCGGGCCATCTATTCCGAAATTTCCATCTATCGCAAGCATCCTAGATGGAATTCAGAGGTGCTCTGGGGCTGCTGGCTTGCATCTAATTACTTGGGCTGGAGAACCTGACGCGCTGCAGCATAAGTATTATCCAGTTTCCCTCATCTGAGGCTTCTGCGGCCTCTCTTCCGCAGGGGATCTCTCCCAAGGGAGTTCTGCTACTGGGCGGAATCTGGCTGTTTGAAACCAGCAAGGGGAAGGGGTCTTGTGAGGTTCCATTTATGCGCACTCCGAGCAGTCTCACCAATCTTCGAGCTGCTCTGCTGCATCCAGCTCTAGCATGGCAGCCCCTGACAACAGCAAGCACTTACAAAACTGCCTATGTGAGGCTTCTGTGAAGCAGTTCCAGGTCCAGATTCTGAACTTGTAGCTCTGCAGTAGTGACAGTAGTGACTTCGTTTCTGAGACATCCGAGTGCCAGGCTCGCAAGTTTCAGCTGCGTTCTGCTGAGTCTGCTTTGCAAGCATCTCCTGATTAACATTTCGCCTTCAGAGCCGTAAAATCAGGAAATTTTGGGCCAAACAAGAATATTGTTGCCACCCCTTTATTATTGCGATTTGGACTTGTTCATATTTTCTTTGATTTTCCGGGATTTTCTTGGGCCGGCAACAAAACGCTATTGTCACCGCCTTTATTAATGCCACTTAAACATGAGAGTTTAGGGTTTAGGGGTTAGAGTTTAGCGTTTAGGGGTTATAGGGTTTAGGGTTTAGGGCTTGGGAGTCAGAGATTAGGGTTTAGGCAGCGGGGTTCCTTTTAAGGTTCTTTGCGTGTCAGCTGGAAGCAGTTGCCGCAGTTGCGACCTTTGAGTTGGCGAGCACGAAAGGGACAAGGGACTGTCAAAACAAACTCCCAAAGCTTTTAGGCATCCCGGAAAAGGCAACAGACCCTAAAAACCCTGCACCTTACAAATCTGAAGCTAATCTTCTTTATCAGAAGGCTTCTGCTAGATGTTTCAACTGCTACACATGGACTTGCAAGCCCTAAATTCTGACAGTAAGGTTCAATCCACAAAGCCCCAAAAGCTGAACCCCAAACCTTCAGCCCATCACTAAACCTTCGACCCAAAATTTGCATTTCAACCACTGGGCCTCTGCCAGTGCTCTCGACAAGAAGTTGGGTGAGAAGGCGGAGAGGGAAGAACCCAGAATTGTGACCGGTGCCGGACCCGGTCCGGCAACGGAAAAGAGTTTTAGCGCTTTACCCATTACTTGTTATTTTATTGGTAATTGGGACGTCAATTATAGGCTTCTACACTGCCCCCACCTCAATCCCGCCCCCAACCACAAAGACGACCTAAACGAGATGTAGAAAGGTATTGGTTACTCAGTTGTACCGTCCTCACTTGAAGGTGGGGGCGTGCTAGGGTAGGGTACAGGATCCTAGTGGTCTAGGCAAGGTCCCCTAAACCTTAATCCCTCCCGAAACTCTAAACCATAAACTCTCAGCCCTAAACCATCGAAACGAGCCATTAGCGGCTCGGTGATTGGATCGTGCGGCTTCGGGCTCACGTCATTTAGATTAGGGTTAAATGTTTGGGGTATAGGGTATACTTACTTGGTTTTAGTAGGGAGCAAGGGAATATTATCCTTATCTCTCCTTGTAGAATACATTCTTTTATTCCCTACTAATCCCCAGTAAGTTTGGGCTTCGAGTTTAGGGTACAGGGTTTGAGAGTTCGTGAAGATTCTGGGTGTCTTCAAGCATTGCCTGTAAACGACCACTCGACTGGCTCACCCAGTCACGCTGCTCCTTGACTGGGTCCTTGCTGGATGGAGTCCATGACATAAATCACTTTCGAAATTATATCCTCTTTTGGCCGCACCTAAAATTTACAGGTAACTTCATGGGACCTTACTGTTCGGAACTACCCACATGAGCAAGATGTTAAACCCGGAAGTAAATGCACCCCCCAAGCCTAGAGTTGATTCTCCAGCGAAATATTCCTTGAACCCTAAACAATCGGTTTTAGGGGTTTGGGTGTAGTAGCTTGCCAATTTATTTTCCGACTCATTCTCCATCGACCTGGGCTGTTTTAGGGCATCCGAATACAAGTAGGACTTTAAATGCAAGCATAAGTTTTCATCAACGTGAATGATCTTCAGTTTGTAGTTTGCCATTATCGCAAGGGAAACGGTAGTCAGGTCATATCAACCATATGAGTTTCCACGTAGACCTGCAACCGGAAACCCAAGTCAGTAGTGTTGTATTTGGGGGATCCTATAGCTCCCGATATAGGGTAAGATGAAATGATATCTCCCTTTTGGGCATAGGCTTTACATTTAGAATATGACGCTCTGAGGTGCAGCATCCACCGTTGCCCGAGATCAGGCGGTGCCACGGCTGTCTGCTGGACTCTGAGAGGATCCCTACAGTAGTCGCTCGATAGGGTTTAGGGTTAGGGGCTTCCAAAATTAAGGGTCCTTGTTTGGAGCTCACAAGCAGAAGGAGTTTGCTATGCTGGGGCAAATAAGAAGATGTGCATCATCAGAAAATTTCAAAAAGCGCCCTATACTTGTCCCCATGCCCACATTGCCCACCACTCATAGGTCCAACTTATTGAGCTGTAGCCCAGATGTAAGGCTCCTAAGTACGCTTACCCGAGCAACTTGGGTCAAAAGTACAGTTACTAAGTAGGTGATAAGTCTCCTGGACCGCCAAACACGTACCGGGAAGGTTAACGATGCCAGCAGTCGACCTGAGACATGATTTAGGGTTTAGAGTGTAGGGTTCAGGGTTTGTATTCAGGGCCTAAAAATACTGTATGCAGCACTATTAGAACAGAACATGGAAAATGACATGGACACTGGAGCGCATATGGCCCTAGATTCCTTGTCCCATTTTGGTTTAGAGTACTTAAAAACACGAAGCTGCTATCAGTATTTATTTGGGCCCCTACCTTACATATGCGTAATACATGAAAAGGAGTTCACAGTCTCTGCGGCTTTAACATCTAAGGTTTTCCCGTGGTATGCGCCAGAAAACCCATGCAAGTTAAGGCATCCAAAAAATGGAGCCTCTTGATTCCAATCCTCCCCGTGTAGCAATGGCATCATTTTTTGGGGGGTTCGTTTTTTCTGGATCCTGTAGGGGGCCAGGGGTTACCGTGTTTAGGTTTTCTAGGGGCCTTTCCCTCCGTTGCTACGGATACCTTGGAGATGCCGTATACTGCGCCTAGCAGTTGTGATCCAAGACTTCCATATTTTTAACCTATCATTTTTCACCTTGAGCCCCTTTTTCCATTCAGGATGCCCAAGCTGCAAACTCAAATCCTTACATTTCGACCTGAAGCAGCTGTGCTTCCCCACCCTAGGCTTTCCGGTGAGAATCAATCAAGTTTGCGGTTTATGATTTAGGGTTTAGGGTTGAGGGTGCAGGGTGCAATGTGGCCCGTAGCTTTGCGGTTTTTCTTACGCACCTGCAGAGAGTTACTCATGCTTAGGTAATTGGTTGGTGAGTGGCTCCCTGAAGCAGAACAATTCCTACTACCCATTTCCAGATTCGCCAAAATCCTAAACCGTAATCCCCAAAAGCGTGCCTAGTGGGGCAACGGAGTGTCACAGGGTTGCTATAGCCTGAAAGTACTAGGAAGCTTACCTCTGACAGCCCTTTGATAGTTTAAGTTGGATACTGCCGTCACTCAATGACAGTTGGAGAATACATTTTGTTTTCCATTATCCCTATAACCCCAATATACTATAGTAGTTCCCATATTCTTTTTCATTATCCCTATAACCCCAATATACGAATAGTATTATATATGTAAATACATACACACAACGATATACAGGCCTTAACATGACCCCTATTATAGATTGTTAATGGGTCAGCCAGGACCCAAAGTTTAAGGATGATATGCCTCAAAACCCTATTCATTTTTTCAGTTTAGGTAGAAGGGTTGATAGGGTTTAGGGAGTAGGGGTTAGGGTTTGGAATAGGGTTGGATCAGGGTTTAGGGTTCAGAACAAGCCTGGCATCTTGAGTTTCCACGAGCATGGTCACCAGGATAGCGCCGACATCAGAAAGTATCATAAGCACCAGGTAGGAACACCTTGAAGTTGCAACAAGGTCAAAATTTGCATCCCCGTCTAGTTACTGTTATAATTAGAAGACACTCTTCTTTTGTAACTTCCTTGCCTAGCATAAGCATCCAACCGTAAACCCTAATCTCCTCAAACGTCCATGACAAAGCCAAGAACCCTTACATTCTGATCCGAGGGAATGGATCCTCAGGGTTCTGGGCTTGGGATTTGGGATGTCAGCAGGGCGCATTTAAATTCATACGTCCCCAAGAATACGGCCAAACCTAACCCGAAACCTAAATCAAATTCTAAGCCCCAAACCCTGAACCGCAAAAATCCCCTGTCTAACCAAAACCTACTCCGAAACCCTAAGCCCCAAACCTTGAATCCGCAAAAAAGCCCAGGCCCCACCGGCCACCGGAGGGCCACAGATGTTTGACATGGCCAGCAGGGACGAGGACCTGTGGCGTGTGATTTGATCATGTCAGGGCCAGACGGGTGTTTCTAAAAGTTCGGGGTCTCTTTGTGGGGCTCCTCATATTTTGGGTTTCCAGCGTCATATACCTGCATGCGAGCTTTATCAGGAGTTGCTTTGTGAGGAATTTATAGAAAGCATGTACGGATTCCATTGGGGCAGTAGATAGGGTTGTATGGGCATGCTCGTGGTGGATGATTAGG